TTTTTGAAAAATCACCCCCCCCTGTAAAATGTAGCTCGCACATTACTAGACTTGATGCTACCCGAGTGTATGTATCATCAATGTGCCTAATTTAGTTTGTTATGTAATTCCTACTTCATGTGTGTATATTCAAAGTATGTATAAAAGTGAAAAGTTTTCTAAACTCAAATCGAGTCAATAGGCTGATGTCTTTAATATGATTGCTAGCCCAAATGAACGACTTTCAATTTTCCTGCGCGCTTTCACTTGAAATGGCTACGATTAAAATAATATTTCTTTGATTTTTTCCACTTGAAATGCAAATAACATTTCAACGAATTGTTAGTTAAAATGTCTATTTCGAGACAACTTTTAGCGACAAGTGATTAAGAGACAATGAAAAAAATATCAAAATGATTTCATTTGTGTATGTTTTGTATTTTGATGCAAAGAAATAAAAATGAGCTGTCGGTGGGCAGTTTTTTACTATTTAAATTCTTCTTTCCCGATGCGTGCAAATAAACAATGAAAATAAAACGTGCACATTAAAATTGGGGCCGCCTTGAAATCAACTCTCGTGAATATGCATCACTAACTTGAGCACAAAAAATCGCGAATTCAAAAGAAGAAATAAAAAAAAAAATGAATTACGCAAATAATTTTTGTAGCAAAAGAAAAAAAATAAGGTATACACAAATCTAGAGACTTTGGGCGATAAGATGTTAAAACTTCCCAGATAAATTGATTGCTGTTGTTGCTGCAAAGAGCAAATACGACGCAGATATAATAGTAAAACTCGAAAAATTATCACCGGAATGCATTATCTGCTACGTAAATATCTCGTTTGAATTCTTAATGAGAGACAGCGATGACGGCCGAAGTAGCATGGTAGCGATGATTGAAATAAAAAAGCATTCAACATTGGCGCTTGTTCAGTTTTTGTGCGATTTGTTGCTAATTATGACAAATCCTTGAGATTTTATTCAAATTGGTCGACTCATTTTCGGGTTCTTTCATTCTTAAGTATATCCCATTAATCTTATAAAATGTGCATATTTCAAGTGTAAAACTCACTGGGTAAGTAGTGCCATTCAATTCCGTGTACTCGAAATATGTTTATCCGCCGTTTTTTTTGTTTTTGTGTTTGATAAGCGACCATTCGCCTGGCATATTTGAATATGCTGCTTTTAAGGGTGCCAAAAAGAGAGAAATAGATTGAGTATTCGTGAAAAAAGACAAAGAAGTAACTGGTAAATAGAAATCATTAAGCACGGTGTTTTTTGTGTTCTATTTACCATGAAAAATATGTGTGACCCACAACTAAAGAAAATATTTGCCACGCAAATTTCCGCAAATTCAGAGTTTTATGTTTGTACATGACCAACATTCTAAAGTTGCATATCGCAACCATTGTCATTCTCATTTCGTGTGAATAAAATGTGACAGATTTCCAGTTGGTTGACTTCGTTTTATACACCACATTCTTCTCTTTCCCTCTTCTTTTTACTCCAATTTCTATCATTCATTGTGTGCCTTTTATAGTTTTTATGTATTCAGATTCTCTTCTCTTGTGTTTGTCTACTCTATCATAATTTGTGATCGTGGTGTCGCTTTTTCTTTCAACATTCTTCTTATGCCGTGTGTCGCACGCTTATTCAAACTAATAGCACAAGTGTTTTATGTGCTTTTCGTGCATTTTGGCAGTGAATGCGTGACATGGCTTTATATATTTCACTTTTTTCACATTTTCTGGTGGTCTGCCACAATGTTCGTTTTATAGTGTATCTCCTTCTGTTGCTTACCTCTCAAATCGAATGTAGTCTCATCTGTTCGCTTTTTTTCGTATTCTTCCCGTTTTGCTTGGTAGCTTTTGTTTTTAGCTCAAGTTTCATGTTGAAATGACATAATCCTTGTATGATTATGTGTGCAATCTGTGCTTATTTTTAGTGAATTAAATGAATACGGTGTGTGTGTGTTTGCTTGCAGTTTAACAAATTCCATAAAATGGTACACAACAAAACTCGAAGAAATTTGTGTTTACTTATGGTTTTTCCATCCCAAATGAAAAAAGGAAAATGAAACAATACTATTTTGTAAATTTGTAAGATGAGAGGAGCAGAAACATGTGAGAAAAGACGAAAAATATTCGCATTATTGAAGTGATAGTCATTTGGCTCACGCTGCTACACCGGTTGTTTGACATCTCGGTATCGCCAAAAATTTCAAGTTTTGTCTCATAATTATTGTGAATGTGAATCGTGCCTCAACTCCGAGTAAATATGCGTACATTGTACAATTGTCGAAAATGTTTACTACACAATCTCGACGCAGCACAAAAATGTCTGGTTGTCGTGTTTTTATTTTTCATCATGTCACTTCATCCCGTTTGTGTGCCCGGGAAAAATGTGTCCACATCAAATAAAGTGAATGATGAAGATACGTGATAAAAGAAAATATGAAATTCCACTTACCTTGCTTCCAAATATTAATGCCAGCAACAGTGTCACAGTTAATTGTGTATGACAGAAAAATATTATGTACAATAAATCAGGATTTGCTGGTGACTGAAGAAATAACCTGCATTCGTATTTGTTTTTATTATTATTATTTCGTTTGGTTTCATTTTTGTTTCATTGTTCGACGATGTTATCGTCAAGTTGTGAATGTTTTGTCGCCGTCATCGTTGATATTATTGTTGATCCAGTTCCATTTGGATATAAGCCGCGGCGGCGACGTCGTATTTTATGATGAACGAATCGTTGAGAAAAGCGTCCGTCAGCATCAGCGCCAAAACAGTATGAAATAAAATAAAATAAAAGGAGAAAGAGAAAGGGAGAGATTGAGTGAATGAATGAGTGAAACGATGTCATGAAAAGAAACGAAAATTGTCGTATACGTATTAATTTAAATTGAATTTGGTGCAAAAAGCGTCGCTACAAATACCACTGAGAAAATAAAAGACTGAGTGAGGAAACGCTACCGGTAATGGCTTTAGAGCACTAAACAAAACTTAACGAATCTCGACAATAAACATTAAAAATGATTCTCGAAACGAAATTTGTATCAATTTAATCAACACTGAACAATAAATAGAGATGAAAAGCGGACTTCTTATTGCAAGTTACTCCACTCCATATGGAGAGTGTACCCTGTACCTGTTATATACATTTCAAGTGGTAGAGTAGACTATATTCAAAAAGAAAGCAAAAGAATATAACATAAGACGAGGATAACGACACTAGAGATTAGCAAACATTAAAATAAATGAACAGAGCAGGTGAGAGAGTGTTGTAAGTAACATTATTCTCTTATTATCATCAATCAAAAAACCGCAATTTTTGTGGAAAACCACACCACGCTTTTCATGGTCCTCATTGTCGTTACGAATAAAAAAAAACTATATTTTCAAAATCAATATACGGAGTATCCATACTTCCGAAATTTCCTGTAAAATTACTATTTTAGTAGTGTTTTATTTTTATTTTGCATGGAACTTTACGTTGAGTTTGTTAAATGCCTGGTGAAATGGCATCGCCATTTATGGTTTCGTGAGTCATTCGTTTCGTAGAACAAAAGCTATAAATTTTATAGAATATTTTGGTTTGGTTGTGTTTAAGTTTTCTGTGGCATTTTCCAAAGACTTAACGGAATATTATATACATATTTAAAGACCGACCATTTTATTGAAATAAGGAAACCCAAGACCATTCAAACGACCATTACAAAAAGAAATGTCAAACAAACTTTGAACCACTTGAAGTTAATTAATAAAACAATGCCAAAAATGGTGTGCGCTTTTATTCACATCACACTATGAACCTTTTCCATTTTTGAAGAGAGAAAAAATCATTTTGAAACTAGCTACAAGAGTCCTTGAAACAATTTTAAAGTTACAGTGTCAGTTTAAAATCTCAAGTTTGAAGTCTCATTTAAGCGAGCTCATTTTCATTGAAATGTGAGCAACATGAAATTCCACACATTTTATGAGCAGAATTATTGTGCTAAAATATGTAATGTCGTCAAATAAATATACCCACAATCGATCTTTCTCTTTCGGGTTTTTGCCTCTTCTTTAGTATCAGTTGCTCTTGTCTGGTGACTTTGAATGAAAACAACTTGTTGCCAACAAGTGTTGTACTTTGTATCAAGTGAGAAGTAATGTAACAATTGCATTTCATCTTCTTAGTTAAATTTGAACTAAATAATGGCCCTTTTTATTAACTGAATATTGTCAGTTAAACTTTATGCCTTAAAGGTGTTTTTCTCGTCGTCGTCGCTGTTAACAGTGGTAATTGATTTAGAGGATGAAATACGTCTTTTTTCTTATTCAATGTTACGTTGTTGTTATCATTTGAAATCTGTGTACTGCGAAAAAAAAAAAATCAAAATATTTACCTGTGCGAATAAGTTGTGTTACCACCCAGACTTGTCACCGAAATCGACTTATTACATGGCCGATAACTTTCTAACAGTCGTTTCAATATCGAAAGACGCACAACGCTATCGTCGCACGTGCAACTTTAGCTTAGCTGAAAATAGGCTCATTTTTTTCATATTCATGCAACATGCAGGCGAGAAAACAGAGCGTGAGTCAAAATGAGAGCTGAAGAGTGAGAGAGAGAGAGAGAAAGCGAGCAAAAAAGTGCCCTATTTCAATGGAGATGAATTTCAATAATGCTCAAGTGCAACTTCTTCATCCTAGCTTAAGTCTATTGGCGCCTTGTTAGCGAAAACATTTTCGCAACCAATTTCGTTTTTCTTTGATCGAAGACTCTTTCGAAAGTTCAAGTAATTCGTTGTGTTAGAATCTCTCTTTCTATCTTTCACTCACATTTTATTTTCAGAATGTTTACACATATGCGAAGATAATGAAGAGATACATTCGCTCCGATTTCGTATCAATTTGTATTTGTTGACGTACACTACCTACATCAGTAGGTGGTAAAAGCAATTGTGTATAGATTGAAACAGTATATAAGTCTTGGTAAACTTTATTTTTCGGGACTTGTACTTTTTCTTTACGAAGTTTTTTTCCTACGCTTTGCAGCAAACGACAGTCGTCGTAGTTGTTTTGAAGTTATTTCTTTTTTCGTCATAATCTTTCATTGCAAATAACACACGTACCGAAATTATGCCCAAACACAACTAACGCCACAACGGAATTCAGTGTAATCTTTACTGAGTTTCCGCCAAGTAGTGAAAAGTCTTTTGCTCAGTTGCAAACAACTGATTAGAACACCATAGTTGTCCGTAGTGGCGCTAGCTGTGCTACAGTTTTATATTTTATACAGATCCTTATGGAACATAATTGCAGTGTGCCTGTGCATACACAAAAAGTTCAGTTTATTTGGGAAAATATGTCTGGGCAAAAGTGTGTATGCGTAAGTATTTGTGCAGTATCAAAGAAGTAGACACACACCAGCCACTTAGAAGAGACGCTAAAATTCATTCAGAATGGCAAATACAAAGAGTAGAAGGGAACGAGAGCGAAATGGCAGCAATGATAGCATATGAAAATGACAAGAAAGAAAATAAATAAACAAAGGTAATCGACTAAAGAGTAAATATAAAATTTAGTATTGGAATTATATGAACGATGTAGATGACTTTGTTTTTTCTTTTGCCTTCTTCCGAAATGGAATGCCAAACAGGAGAATTTTCATCAAGTCAAAAACGAGACGTGTACAAATAATGAGAAAAGATGTATATACCCAAAACAAATTGTTTTCATCATACCATGCGACTTGATTTTGATTTTTTTTTTTCACATCTTTTGTTTGAAATACACCCGAGACATAAAGTTTCGTGTCCCATAGTGAATGAAAAAAAGATTGACATGGACTATGTCAAATAAAACTATGGCATGCATTTCCAAAATTGAACGAACATTCCGTATAAAATATTTTGTATTCATTTTGACTGTTGTGGAACGAGCCGAACAGATGAAAAAAGAAGACGTCGTTTGGTTTGCTGTCGAACGCACATCCATTTTCAATCCCTCATAGAATATTTACCGAAATGACCACACACCATGGTGATAGTAGACATGGAGTAAATTGCGTGTGCCATGTGCGCGATCGATTGTCAACGTTTTTAGTATCCATTTTCACCAAAATGTTTGCAAACGCGTAAATATTCGATGTTCATCAATTTATTGAGTTTTGTTTGTGTAGTTCGATTTGTACTCTTATCGCTCTCGAAGCAAAACCATCGGCCATCGACCACAATGACCAGATTGACTGTGAATCAAATAGCATTGGAGAATCGAGGCGAATGAACATTTTCCATAAAGTGAAGCGTATTTCGTGTGAAGGAAAATGAAATCTTTGGTAAATCGGATGATAAATTTTATGTATTGACATAATTCAAACACAGGCGCTCAGTGCAGCATCGAATGTCATTCAATAGACAGCCCGTACACACAAACGATGTGTGGTGTACATCGTTATTTGTGGAGTGAATAGAATTGAACCGAAATATTTATTGAGAAAGAGAGAGAGAGAGAGAGAGAGAGAGAGAGAGAGAGAGAAAGATAACATGATATACAGAATGAGCGTCTATCTAGGTAGACATTATTGTTCTTAGAAAATTATCCCCCAGCATGTGCTCACATTTACGAATACAATATAGTTGAAGGGATGAAAGCGGATGAGAGGTGAAATTCGGTGAATTTCGCATCTTTTGTTCATGTTGGCCGATTAAGTTGAGGGTGCGGACAGTGGACAAATCATAAGTATTGCGGTATTATTTGTATGTGAAGAAAATAAATACAATTGAGCTCAAATGTTTCTTAATTTTAATTCGACTTCAATTATTAGAATGACAAGGTCGTATATATTAAATGCGTACTCAAGTCGAATTTAACAATAAAATAAAAGCAAACACATAAATACAATACTGAATGGCAATGCCACATGAAAAAAATTGCTTGAGATTTTACGTTGAGATGCGCGTACATAACGTACCATGATATATAGAGCTTAATAGAAGTTGACGTTGCGCGAATTACGCATATCCAAAGTAAATTATTTCATTTGTTATAATGTCGTTTAGAGTAAACGATTGGTATTGCAAAGCATCAACAGCATCGTATATTTGCGTGCATGTATCTTGCGATAAAGTACTAATAAGAAGTCAAGCACGAAAGGAGCTTTGCAAAATGATTTGTTGGTAATGAGCTTAATTTTGGTCAAACTTACGATTTTTTACTTTCTCAAAATGAAATCGTAATGAAGAGAAAAGCGCGCACACACACACCACACATTTTCCATGAAAAGATATAATTTTTTGTTTCACTTGAACTGCATTATTAAAATTATATGAAATAGCATGCCATTTATAATCGGTCTCACTCCCTCTTCTTCTATTTCATAATAAAATTTGTGACCCAACATGTCACATAAACGACCTAATAACTTTTATTGTTAGTTTATGTTAATAGAAATGTAGATTAAACAACATAAGTTGAAAATAGTTTGTATTAGTTAAACCGTTCATGTTCTCTTCTTACATCGTTACAACACATGCATACATTGTAAGTCATAATATACAATATGTGTGTTGCAACACAACAATACAAACTGTACACATTTTTCACTATTATATTGTGTTTAACTAAAAATTCAAAGTTTCTTAATTGAAAATTATTTACAAAGGACCTTCAAGTCAAATGCACAATGCACAGCACATACACTGGCTGAAATAATTTTTGGCTCACATTAACATTTTTCAAATAAATTGTGGTTAGATAAAATTGTTTGTAATATACTATTAATTGCATTTGGCACCTTTATGATTTGACAAGATATTAAATGTAAAATGTAAGCAACCTTGATAACATGCGCCTAGTCAAATAGGTGGCATAACTCCTTATGATCGATCGTAATAAATAGTCAAATTGAATTAAACATATTGTATTTCATACATTTTTACACATATTTTACTTTATATCACGTATGTAAATTTTTGCGTGAAAGTAAGACATTTCGAAAAAGAGAATAACATGAAATCATAATGAAAAACTTCCAGGAAAATCAATGAAAGAAAGACAAAGGATTCGTCGATTTATGTGTATTTCTGTAGTTTGTTTTCTTCTCTTTATCAAGAAAATTTAAATCATCAATTTTCATGAAGTTTTATGCACAAAGCGCATTCTGATTGATTTGTAATTTTCTTTGCGATTATTAATTCGAAGTAAATTTTTTGTCATTGCTTGTTACTTATTCGCTTATTTCGATTCCTTCATTTTGTGTTCGTTATTGCGTTTTACGATTGGAATAAGATAAAGTTGCAGCTTAATCGCTACAAATCAATATTCGATCTGATTAATTCATGTGTGCTCTTCCATTAGCATTGGCATGCAGACGATGTTGTTTTTGTGCTCAGCACTGTTTGTTGAGAGTATAGTCTGTGTTGGCGCGCTTTTGTTGACGAGAATGGATGTGAGACCGAGTGAAATCGTTAAGTAAATCTCAAATTCGACGTTACAATATCGTTCTCGACATTGTCAAAATTTGTTTTTGTTGTTTTTGCAATAGTAATGTCTGTGTCACATACACGATAACAAATTTCGCTTGTAAAATATAAATTACGCATTTTTTTTGTTCTCCAAATTCATTGAAAAGATATTCACTTTGATTATATTTAAAATAGAAAAAGAAAAATGCGTTACAATCGAAATGCCCTCGCGCACTGCAGTTATATCTTTTGTTGTTTGTTCATAATGTCTGCAGCAGGCGACGACGAGAACGAAAACCAACATCAAATTTACTAAATTCAAACAAATTAAAAAGGGAGAAAACACGAACAAAAAACACATCTCTTTACAGAGATGCCGGACTGTTTTTGCTATTTACCATTTTTCCATGGAATCTTCTTTTCATTTTGTTCATCAAGAGCATAATCGGGATGAAGTTATATAAGAGTGAGAGAGGGAGAATAATATTTCTGTAGAAATCGGTCGAAGTTCTCTCTGTAGGCATTTTTGTCTTGTTTGACAAATAATCCGAATGGTGCGGTGTTCTCTTTTGTTTAAATCTTGCATTTTAATAAGAATGGACAAGCAATGTTTTAGAAACAAAAAATATAACGACTAATTTCAATGTGCCCAGACAAAATGCTAAAAAGACGATTTTTAATACTCTTATCAAAATATTTCATTGAAATTGTAAAATAAAAACAAAACTTGAGACATATATTTTGACTACACTTGGTAAACATAGACAAGTTACGCATAACAACCAAATGAATTTGCATTTATTTATTTTTTTTTTTTGGTTTTTCAAACACACAACTACTTGCATTGGAAAAATCAACCACCATGAGTCCCTGTATATTAATAAAGGCGAGAAAAAAGTCGCACAATAATGCGCCATCTGTTGACGTGGTTATCAATGTATGTAATTACAAAGACGGAATTGTTGGAAATGTTGTTTTCAACCAGATGGCGTTTTTACAATATGACATCTCTCAGTCATGTTGGTTGGGCAAAATGAAGGGGCATTTTTTTTGTATACAATAAATATTGAATACAATAAATAGTAAATTTAATTAAAACAACCAAATAAAAATATACACTTCTGTATATAATTTCTCTTCAACCTAGTTAGGAGTTGGAGACCAGAATAAATTCACGAAGAAATGTCAAACTTGAACTCAATCAACTATTTTCTGACGTTGAAAATTATGTACACTATTAAGTATGAAGAATGTATTGACAGGTAACACAAATGGTCCGTCTATTTTTTTGTCACCGTTGTGTTTCCTTTTTTATCTGCCCATAACAAAGTAGAAATGCAAAAATACTTACATTGATACATTTAGGAAGCATGTTAGGAAGAATTCATTGTATATTGCCATTGAGATAAATCGGCTTTCGTTAAATTCGGACGGTGCTTTTCGTACCATAATGCATAATCGTACACCCCAAGCCAAAAACAGTACCTCCACTGAAAAAAAGTAAAAAGAGAGAAACGAATTTAATAATACAATTCAAACTATTCAATTTATTTTGAACTGTTTAAATTATTCGCCTATGTATTTAAAACATGGAGTAGCAAATTAATAGTTAATAATATTTAATTTGACGGTAGGCTATCATGAATTGGCTGCAAATTTATATGAAATCACACTATATTTTCTTCTTCTGGAATTTAAGATAAAATAAACTAGTACAAAGCTTAGTGCCCGATGTTTTAAGTGTATTACATCAATAATAAAGTGTTGAACAACAATTTGTTATATTTAATGTACTTCGATTCTAGTTTGATGCAGCTTAGAGTTTTCTCATAACAAAAATAATAAATTTTGAATAATAGTTAGTTGAGTGTTAAAACAAGACCGAGGGCGTCATCAGGGAGTGCTAGCGTAGATTTTGTAACGGCATAAATTAAATATGAGGACATATTGTTAGCTTTTTGACATAGAAATTGTTTTCCAGAGCTTGCTTCAAAAACGAGAACATATCCACTTTTCGAGTTGGAAGACCACATCTTTTAGAAACAATTTTTAAAAAATCTATTCGCTTCGCTCGCAAATTTACTCCAGCATTCTATCTCAATAATGAAATTGTATTTTTACGTAATTGGGTGTCAAAATCATGAAACTCGTTGTTTTTATATATCTCAAAAACCACTTTTGTTTGATATGTAATTTATAAACTATCGAAAATTGGGAAAGTGATGAATTTTGAACTGAAAACTTGCAGGAACTTGCTAGTTATATACACTGGGATAATTTTAAGTGACATCATATTTTCGATGTCCTCAATTTCTTGAAAATTGTCCTCATTTTTTATTTGTCTTGCCTCCTAACCACATCTTTCTGGCGACGTCCCTGAACAAGTCAGATGAATGTTATTTGATTCCCAATGTGGTCATTTAAATAGTGCATCATCCAGTTCAAGTTACTATAACGAAATAGGTTTATGAATTTTGGACGTAAAACTGTTCTTTTGATACCCGTTCTTGAGAGGTAACTCGTGTAAAAAAGAACATATAATGTTTTATTGCTTAGATGACGCTCAATGGTTTCTTCGTTCAAATCTTGTAGATCTCCATTGATAATTAAATATTCAAATTATGGAATGTGAACAAGTGTTCAAGTTTTATTTAACATTTATCGACTAAAGTGTATGTACTTTGTATCCCCATTACCAATTTACTTGTACATGATATTTAATTAAAATCAAAATGAATTGCCTGAACACACGACACAATGTTGTTATTTATTTACCATTTATTATGTTGCTATTTTCACGAAAACTTTAACCAATAACAATGTTGAGAGAAAAAAAATGTGTGCTTTGTGTCCAATTTACATGCATTTACATGGTTCATTGATGTTTTATTAATAATTGTCTTGATTTATTAGAATAACAATCTCTATATGTACACTTACTTGATGTGAACGTATGATCCCACCAGTCAGCTTTACAGAGGAACGCTTTCAAATCGTCTGCCGTCCGTCCAACAATAACAACAGGCGGTGCAACAATTGTACGAACTAACAAACCAATTGTAACGCAAATACAAATGATACCCAATCGTTTTAAAAGTGTCGCATCCGTTATTTTAACAGCTTTTGCTGAACGTACACGAAACACCACAGAAATTCTACATTATCCACATAAAAAAGAAAAAAAAAAAACAATCAACCATGAACAATCAAAAGAGGATGGACGCTCCGACTTTTATAAACATGATAAATAAATTGTTGAAATTATTCTAACTTACCGCCATGTTTTCAGCATCAGTGCGCCATATGTCAGTGAGAAACCGATTTCACGAAGCCAAACTCGTGCCGTACACGTGTAGATTGAGGGTCGCGGATACATGACAATAGACTGAAGCCATTTATTGAATTAACAGAAAGAAAGGAAGAAGAAAACAATAATTCATTTTACTCGAAATATATTGAGATGACCCGCAGGTAAACGACTACTAAACTATTTGAAAACGTGGAAGTTTCCTTTTTTTTAAATATTGTTCACTTTGGAACCCTTCCATTTTATTAATAATAATTGAAATCTTTCATTAAAACTTTTAGAAGCACGTAAATTTAACAGTTGTACGTCTGCAAACAATACCATTGAAATAATGAGTAGCAACTACATTTTTTATGATGCACTTTTTACTCGCTGAATAGCTTCCGTTTCACTTCAATCAAATTAATAGCGTGTTTGGCGCGAAACCAACAGAACAAAATAAAACAATAGTTCAACTTAATAAATTTGTAGATGGAGAACAAAAAGCAGTCAATGAACATGTTTAATGGTGTACGAGATCTTATAAAATTGCAATTAACTTCATCAATTCATCATAGTTTCTGTATATACCTAATGCCGCTTAATATGAAATTGTCGTATTTCATTCGAATCGACAAAATCAATAAAATTTTAATGAATGTACCAAAATTCAAATATTGTCCAGAAGCAGAAAATTCAACGTTCTGTATTCATTCGAATTTTTGTGGTACAATGTTCATGTTATCTGTGTTGCAATTAAAAAGTCCATCGAGTAATCGTTCGTAAATATATCAAATAATAAAAAATAAACCATCAAATATAGTTGCTCAAGTATTTTCGCTCAATGGTAATTTCGTGCTGGAACTTTTGATTCGGCACTGCGCACATTCACTCTATATTTATGCATTTGTGGTGGTGATGATGCTTAATATGACGTCGAATACAAATTCCACTGGGATGAATGTAAGTGTGTGTGTGTGTGTGTGTGGGGAGGGGGAGGATTGTATGTGCTTGATTTTTCTATTTTCTTATTTCTTTCATTCTGTTTCTCTGCCGATTCTCTCCAGGGAATGACCGGATTTTGTTGTTATAGCCAAAGCAAATGGAAAAACGACGACGGTTCATTAAAAGCAGCTGTAACATTTTCAGCGATTTGAGCAACGTTTTATTTTTTACATTCTTCTTCTGTGTCGTCGTCTTCTTCTTTTTTTCCAAACAATTTATTGAGCTTATGGATTTGCGCTCCATTGGTATCCACTGTAACGATCGAAAATAATTGATGAACGTGTATTTCGGTGGACTGTGTGCTTTTTCGCATTATTTTCAGATTACCTGAGTAAATGAGTGAGAACTATGTAAAATGTTTATGTCCGTAAAAGGATTAACATTAATGGGCACCGTTCAACGTTTTATATAAGTATGATTTTGATTGTTTCCCAAGTGCACTTCTCTATTTCATTTTTTTCCGTTCCTCTGATTTTTCTCGTTCGGCTGTTTCTCTGCTATTTGTTTTTTTTTTCTTCCACCGTTTGCAAAATGAAATCAAGCAAAATTAATACACTCAGCACCATCGATTTTCGTCCGGCCAACAAAACGAAACGGCAAAAATGAAAGAAAGAGAAAAATGGTGAGGCCACAATGGCCACTGAATCATCGATATGAGCGTGATCAGTATATTAGTTTCATCGACCGCTCAATTACATGGAATGGCAATGCTAGAGAGAAAACGCTATGCGGTGATTTAATAGTTATGGCAGGTAAGCTGGCACTTTGAACGTGGATGAAAATGAGAACCGATTTGCCCCATAAAACACACAGTTGCTCGACTCATATGTTACTAAATACATTGCATGAAAAATGATTTCGAACTGAAGGTATACACACGCTGAAAGTAAGGGGGGAAAAACGATCGGAAACAATAAAGATAAGCGAGCAAGAGCCAGCAAGAACGAGAACAAAAAAAAATCACAACCAAAATCAATAACATGTAGTTTTTTTCGGTGTCGGCACAGTTGGATTTCATGTGAATTTCAAACGTTTTAGTGATATTGTGAGCATAGTTTTTGCTATATTACTGAACACAACGCTTCAGTATATGTTTTCAGTTCAAAATGCCCATACACACACACACATTGCACGAATCCATTCGCCAATAACGTCACACATTTTCTATGCTCACTTTTTCAGCCTGGTTGCTCTCTACATTCTATTCTTACTGTATGGATAACCTGTTTGGTCATGTTTATATTTTTTGATGCGATAAAGCGTAAAAAAGCAACTACGAAACATCCGAGAGCAATTTTCCAAAATAGTTCATAATAGTGTAAGTTCCAAAAGGTAATATGCATATTTAAATTGAATGTTTGTGTTTTTGTGTGTTATTCATTTGCATGATTCAGATACTTTTATTCGCCAAACAAACCCAAGAAACTTTCGTTTTGTTTAGACATTTTTTACAATCTGATCAACGTTGCGCAGTAAAATACTATGATCGAGAGCTTCTACATAGAATTGGATTTGAACTCTTTTGACACAATTCCCAATCACAAACACTTTGAAGGTGTGTCCGTTGATTTGAGCACAATTTGTCTTTGTATCATACTTAGAAATATCATATTTCATGCGCATAACCAATTTGTTATTTATTTTGAAATACAGTCGCACCAATAAAAAGAGCATACGAAAATCAACAGTGTGAACATCGTTTCTGGGCTAATGCGTTTAAATTTGTTTTTTTTTTACTTTAAAAATGCATTTATAGCAGCAGTTCATTATTTGTATGAACTATATGTTGAAGTATGTTCGAAATGAAGATGCACAACCCGAGTATACAACATATATTTACTAACACACATGTTTTATTTGTCATTCTCTTTTTCTCGGTTCTCTTATTGCTTCAAGTGTATTGTTTAAAATGTATGCACGTGAGGTATTCCATTCGACCAGCACGTGGCGGTTTTTGGGATTAATCAAGAGAATTGGTGCAGTGTGAAAGAAACACGAAGAAATAGAGGTGCAAATCATTTGAGGTGCACGTATGCAAAAAATTTCTTTTTAAATATACATTAGTATGTTTTCTGGTTTCAAAATTGTTTCCCGCATGTACTAGGGACAAAGCAAAAGATTCACGTATTCAACAGTTCCATTTTACGCCCGGCAATGATTTCCTCTTTTGAAAAATTGAAAAAGAATGAAAATTCTTCGACAAATTGGTTTATCTCCTTTGATTCATTTGATCACTAGTTTGCATATTTGTCTGGAACATTTATAGAAGATTGAAGATTTGGTATATTTTTTTGAAATCCTTAATGATGTTTCTTTCTTCGTTTCCCCATTTCAGTTTGGCATTTTTATTCAATTATTTAATGAATTAGCATAGGTGAGTGAAAATATCTTCGTTTTTTAATCAAAATATCTATCGCAATAAAAACAATAACAAAATTTTAAAACATAAAACAATAAAAAATCAATTTTCAATTTGATTTTTTTTTTTTTTTTCAAATTTATAAAAAACTGACAGCTTTGTAATTAAATATCAATTTTTCATACGTGACTGAATAAATGTTTATATGCTTTAAAAAAATCATTTCTGCTGTGACCAACCAATGTAAACCAATTTTGAAAAAAAGATTTCTTTTTTATTCACTTTTAACAATCAACCGGTACAATGTTTACGATGACACATTGTACCGTGCTTTTTTAATCATTTTTTTTTTCTAAACACTTTGTCTTAGTTACTCTTTTGAATACGTGTGCTGTGCACATGGTTTTTGACGAGCACATTTCAACAGAGTTTCAAATAAGTATAGAATTTTCTTTGTACTGTGAATATAAACTTAATATACATTTGTATATTCAAAACGTTGCAGAAATTTTCTCCTTTTTACTTTGAGTTCTATGGGTGAGATCTAAAAGAACGTATGTTTTTTTTTCGCTTTAAATTTTGGAAAAGGAATGTATGTGTTTTGCCAATTCTGTCTTACTAAAAGGAAAGTATGTTTTGCACCAAAAAAAATTTGTAAAAGGGAAGTATGTTTTCCGGCTTAATCAGTTGCTGATAAAGGAACGCATGTTTCGCACCAAATAAATTTTGCAAAAGGAAAGTAAGTGATTTTGAATCAGTTGTTAAAAAAGGGATGCATGTTTAACGATGATTTTTCTGGAACTGGGCTTCGATGGATCCTCAGGATCATCAGAACCGCTCCCAGTTCTGGAAGTGGGTTTTGGTGGATCCTCAGGATGGACCAGACTATGGTTTGACAATGCCCTGGCCCATCCTGAGGGTCCACTTCCAGAACTGGGAGCGGTTCTGATGATCCTGAGAATCCACCAAAGCCCACTTCCAGAACAAAGACACTTACGTTCTTTTATCCAAACCAACAAAACTGAAACATGCATCCCTTTTCCAACAACTGATTCAGCCGAAATACATACTCTCTTTTTTCAAAATTTATCTGGTGCGAAACATGCATTCCTTTTCTAATAACTGATTCAGCCGTAATACATACTCTCTTTTTTCAAAATTTACTTGGCGCAAAACATACATTCCTTTATTGCGACAAAGTCGAACACACTTGCGTTCTTTTAGATCTCACCAATAGAGTTCATACTGACGCAATGAAGCAACGTTCCGAATTTACAAATGTATATTAAGTTTATATTCACAGTACAAAGAAAATATATCTACCAACTATTTTCGTCACAAAATTGATATCAGAAATTTTGTGTTTAAAATTTTGGTTTCGTCACTCGTTCTCTTACTCGATAGAGGTTTTTTATTTGATATCAATAGTTTTGTAAGTGCTATTTTCCAAGTTAAAGATTCAAGACCCATGGATTTGAATATTTTTCAAATACAATGAAAATATGGATTTTTAGGTTATTTTTGGATCAAAATGATATAAATTATGGATCATAATGAGGAACAGAGGTTTTAGCAGTGGTGTGTGGTATGCACATTTTTTTTATCTTTGAATTGGGGCTAAAATTGATGAATTTTTAAAAAGAACCTATGCAGTCTTTTTCGAGAAAGTGACCGTTATGTGTCCGGCCAGACGGTCAAATTTTGATTTTTGACCGATTTGGCCACCTGAACTTGAAATTTTTAAGTCGCAATTGGCACTATTCGATAGCTTACTTTAAGACCTTTCCAACGAATATGCATATGCCTTGCGTAAGTCATGTATAGGTGCCACAGCGATTGTTTGAAAAAATGGCCATTTTTGCACTATCGAAGGCCATATCTTGAAAACAAGAATTTTCTGGGATATGAGCTATGCGGCATATTATAGCTTAGACTTGGGCCTAAAATCGGTGAAATTTTCAAAAAAATCCTTGAGCTTGTTTTCGAGGTAATGGACGTTATGTGTCCGGCCGAACGGTACATTTTTGGTTTTTGGCCAATTTAGCCACCCCACATTGAAATTTTTGGACCGCAAATGACTCCATTCGATAGCTCACTTCAAGACCTTTCCATTGATATGCATATGTCTGGGGGGTGTCAAGTCACGCTTCGGTGACCATAGGGAAAAAAGTCGAAAAGTTACATTTGGAGGCCGGCCACGGCCAACATGGCGGCCAAATCGAAAAGTGCCGGAACAAAAAAGTCTTAGTTTTTTGTGTACTTTAATCACAGAAAGTTTCAAAGAGATCAGAATCGAGTACGCAAAATCGCGCACAGACAGACAGACATTATGATTCTTCATAGAGATTCATATGAAATTTTTAAAACGCTGAAGTTTTCGAAAAGTGTCATCGATTTTGACGGTTAGGGAGTCGTTGGAAAGGTATTGAGCTCTAGAATCCGAATATCGATATTTTAGAGGTCAATGACCTTATTTAGTGCCATATATGGCCGTAGAACTGAATTTTGACCCTTTTCTTGAAAGGACCGTATTTTGAAGACGGGTGGACCGATTTTCAAACTTTGACATTTTTTCTTGATCTATGGCCCTAGGGCTTTCCAACCATACACCAACGGCCTTCTAGGTCTGGATTTCGTAAATTACGTGTATATATAGCGAGTTCGACTTTTCAACACACTAATGTGGTTTCGTCACTCGCGCGACCTGCCGTCCGCTGTGATTTTATATATTTTTTTAAAATTGTATCGCGTCACAGATTGAAGTGAAATGAAAACTGACTGAAATGGTTATCCATAAAGTAAATTTGTATATGTGGTTGTTGTTTTTGCGGTAATGTTGTTGGAAAAGGGTTAAGAGGAGTGAAAAAAAGGAGTGTTTCGTAACACAAATTGCAATTTGTTGTAATTGCGAATATAATGTAAATATTGCGATTGTACTAAAATAATAATTATAATATTGAGAGGAAGATCGTGATAAAAAACACTTACCGTACAGTAGATGAAAAATGCACCGAGCGCAATAACTCGCAATAAAGCTGGACTAGCTGCCCGCAAAACCTGCAATAAAAAACCGATTAAGTGAGAGAATGCGAAAATAAAATGAGTTGTTGTTTGTGGTTATTTTTTCATGTCGTTGTCCCGCATTTTATGTTAAGGGTAAGCGCATATTTGTTGGAACAAAATGCCGACAGAATATGTATAGAACACAGAAATGAGTGAATAGTAAGTGAATGAGTGAGGTGCGAGAGAAGTCGTTGATTGCCACTGCCGTATGTCAGTATGAAAGTCACGTATGAGTGCTGCAGCACACATAAGTAATTTATATAATCCATATTAGGCGCAATCAAGGCGGCTAAAGCTTGCAAAATGTTTTTTTTTCTTTGCGAGACGGCTTCGTTCGTTGCTAACCTGTTATTTAAAATTCTGTATTGTTTCGTCTTTTTTCTGTTTTGTTCTTATTTCTTTCTTGCTCTGTTTTGTCCATTTGCAAATTTAACGAATTTATGTAATCTTCTTACAAATACTGTAATTTCATGAATATGAATTTCTTCCGAGCCGAACGTATATAAACCATATCGAAATTATCAACAGAACTGTAATATAACAGCGCCACTACTGAAAACACAACACTTTACCATGCATGTGTACATAAATGCTCAAGTATGAGTGAACCAATGTATGGAATATGACAGTAGTTCCACGAAGAGTCGTCGTATTCAATGGATGTACTCTTATGGAACAGCTATTTTAAATAATAGGTGAAACTGTACAACACAATTTATGGTTGATATACACTGACTAAAGCGCAATGTGTGTCTGTGTGTCTCTTACAGATCAACCGAAAATAGAACAGAGAATATAAAAAGTGCATGGCGGAGAATGAAGTTAAAGCACACACACAGTTCAATTCTGTCTGTGCAACGAAAATCAAGAACGACTTGCCTTTTTTCGATATTATTTGTGAAGTGTGTGATGGTGTCTATCGGTGGAATGAATGCCGTGTGCCCCTTTAATGGTGGCGACCCCAATACCGGGTGAAATGCGATTCTTTTTATTTTGCTACAACAAAATTAAATTGCCTTTGTGCGAGTCTTATGGCAATTTTCATATTTTATACCAGTAACTCGCCGTGCAGATGATACATTACGATTTAAACGTATACAAATAGGCAGCAAAAAAAATCGCAAACTCTACTGTTTGTTGGTGTGGTGTGTGTTTTTGGCTCATGAATGTAGGTATGATTACGGTGCGGAGAATCTGAATTTTTTTGTTGTGCACAAGGCGAAAACAAACAAAACATGAGTGGCAATAAATTTTGCTGCTTTTATGATTTTATGAGATGGATTTCATTTTTTTCTCTCTTACTCTCCCTCTGCACTTTTTTATATCGTCGGCATAAATGTTTCTTATGGATTTGCACTTATATATAATTTTTTTTTCGGTTCTATTTAGATTGCGATTTGTGTAACGTGTAACTGTATACAGAGAGACAGAGATTGGGAATGAACGAATATAAAATATCAAGATAGGGTGCTTGCACCATTGTCATTGTTTTTGTTGTCTCAGATTTGGTAATTTTATTTTTGGCTCAATTTTTTTACCTCTCAGATGACGAGCAAACGAAAACGAAGAAATAATGCATATTTTATGCGATTTTCAGTGAAAAGTTGATGTAACAACAGGGAATAACAACGCACGCCATTTGATCATCTATTAAAGTGAGCGATAAGAGGAGAAAATAAAAAAAAAACATGCAGGTAGCGCCGAATAAAAGTAAAAAACAACCGAGAAAGAGAAACATCGAACCGAAGCACATAATAGAGAAAAGAAAATATGTTGACATTGGTCGTGCATCCATTGCGAGTTGTATTACATTTGCAAAATATTTGAAAAATGTTTATTTAATTTACTCTATTTTAGCTAGCCGAGATGGCATACAAATGCATGGAATTGTGCCAAAGGTGGGTGTGCATTGCATTGCTTTTCAACAAAGATTATACAGAGACAGAAAAGAGACACGTATTATTGTTTTGTGATAATTTTTTTTAAATATTTTTTTTTTGTGTATCACATCATTTATGATCATTATCCCCCGGATACTTTGCATTCAACATCAATAGCACTCGAGTTGACAGAAAGTATAGAATTTCAAAAAAAATTGCTGCAATTGAATCCGATTATGCTATTCAATGTAATACGAATTCTTGACATTTAAGAAAAAAACGTCACCGCTTTTCTTACGTGCCTTGTATTTCTTGCCATACGTGTCTTGTTTCAACAGGATCTTTTTGTTGCCTTTTTTCACCTTTATTTGCACTTCAATCGGTATTTTAATGCCAACGATTGGCATATATGGATCCGTATTGAAACCTTATTTGATATGGCTCTTCATATTTCGACAGGTTGCATTTGATGATGTGTTTATGGGTGCACTTCACGCGTTGTTCGCGTGTGCGCTTGTATTTTATAAGCATCGGAGCTATTATTATTTGACACCATGCGAATCAAATCCAAAAGAAAAATGAACAAAAAAAAAATGAGCAGATCGTAAGAGAAGAGACATAAAATCTTGAAATACCATTGCCAGTGGATTGTTTGCAAGTCGTACTATCGTTGTCGTTATGTTCCCTATAACTTTGTCGTTTAGAGAACGAATTCAGGGGACAAGTAAACGATGAAAACAAGCACTACCATCATTTTCAACCGCACAACACAATTTTTCCATAAAGAAATTCTCACAACATTCTCACCGACTTTGGCACTAAAATTACATTTATGATTTTCTACTCTGCATTTTACGTTCGACGATTTTTTTTGTGTGTCACATTCATCGTTTCGTTTTCGTTCCGAAACAAATAAATGTGGCGCGTTGTTAAATAAAATGCAGGTTAGAAAGTACTGGTTTTTACGACACTTTTCAGACGAAACAGGTGTCAGAGTGTGTAGATGAGTAGAGAGTTTGATACAATAGCCAAAATTTTCTGCTTTGAATTTAACCATTATTTATAATCTTAGTAAGACGACTTGAAACGGGCATACATTCGCCACACAGAACAAATTAAACTTTCACAAACCAATATTTGTTGAAGATATAACGTCCCCATATTAAGAGATTTGATACGTATCCTATTGATAGACAATGATTTCAGTCGATCGAACAGAATACAATCGACTTATTTCTCACAAAAGGACCTAGATGTTTTCTTGAATTTAAGACTTGTATTGCCTTTCATGTCAATTCATTGACTGTCTGTAATGAACTCATTTCAATAATTCAAATTTCGGAAATCATTAGATTGAACAAAATGTAATATACATTTACTTACGATTGCCAATACAAATGTCTTTAATAATAAAAACTCAATTTAGCACTGAACGTATTGAAATAAAATTACTCAAAGAGAATGGCCCACATAACATCCCGATCACTTTGTGGTTTATGGCATATGGTACATTGTCGAATGTGTTCGCATAAAATGAAAATAACAGTATTCCAAAAGCACATGGACTATGCACAAAATCTGTATATACAATATACATACAAAGACGAAGGAAATGGTTTTGCAATACAGCAAACGATGATACACGATTTTGCAATAAAAAAATGTAGCGACAGAGATACGAATGTAGAAATCTTTTAAATTGAAGCTTCTGAGTTTGGAAATGGTGTGATTTTAATTTTCGATTATATTGCTATATATTGAAAATATCCAAAACTTCCAAATCGATTCGAGTGTTAAGAAACTTTGATTGAAAACCATTTCTTATAGTTTTATGGAATGATGAAGACTTTGAGTTCACAGGCTTTGAGGCTTGGTAAACTTGTACTGATACGGTTGGAAGTGAAAACCACAAAAAGTTCTATTGGAAATTTATATCTAAAATCAAGAAAAGCCTTCTGGCAATGTGATGGATAAAAATGGGCAGACGCATTATAACATTTTCGAAATGTGTGTTAGAATTGTTTGCTTTTGAATAACAATTTCAAATGAAGGCAATAATAAGTGATAATTCTAACGCTTTCAAATGTGTCCCACTTAAAAGTGGCCGAATTCTTCGTTCTACGAATATTTAGCATTGCTTTATTTTTGCATATTTCATTTTCGTTTCGTTCGTTTATATTTCATTTTATGCGATCACCAGGCAAGTGCTGCTCATTCTGGCTTTTTAATAAAGCACGTGCATGCAAACAGTATAAAATCATTGAAAAATGTGCATTTATGTTATGTGGTTTAAATTGAATTATATTATCCATTCAATTCTATTACGCAAAAAAAAAAACATTTTCTCATTCAATTTTTCTCGGTTATTGCCATCATCTCCTCGATTTGATTTTAATTTTTATGACTTTTTTGTTGTTGTTGCTCTTTTTTCGCTACATTGTTCCGTTTCATGGCATCCCTTCATATACAGAGAGCGTATCATTTCCATTTCAAATTATTCATGTTCAGTGGCTTTTTTGGTTTAACTTTTTGCATCCAATAAACGTCGTTAAATAAAATTTATTTTTCTTTCTCTCTCTCTTCCCCTCTCCCTCTTTCTCTGTCTCTTTTTACTTTCTTCGGTTAAATCAAAATTTTTGCACTGAATCCATAATGGCCAATCTCCTGCGTCGTTATTCTCTCTGTCACTCTATCTCGCTTTCTCGCTCCCGTTCTCCATGAACTATTTGACTCGGCGAGTATTCATAAAGAATGTGATTTATCTCAGCATTAAGTAAGGTCAACACATAAATTTACGGCAGAAAGAGAGTGAGCGAGTGAGAGAGAGAGAGGGAAGTGAAAGAGAATTTTAGTGTCTGATATACAAAAGCGCTTTGGTTTCGTTGTCTGCATTCTCGCAATGGCTCAGTGATTTTGCATCACAAACGGTCATTTAGATCCTGTTCACAATGCTTAAAAGCGGTAATTATTTCCATATTTACTTGAGCGGATTTGCACGGACCCAGCCACGAGCCATCGGGTTGCAATTTGTGGGAAAATGCTTACACTTGAATTATTTGATTAATTTATAATTGGTTGATAGATGTAATTCCATTGTAATTACATGGTAAGATC